CCCATCCTCATCCTCAGAGCTCAAACAGTGGCCTTGTCCAAAAATAGACCATATTAGCAGGCACTACAAATCTAAAGATATTACCAGCAGACACATCCAGAAACCCAAACTGGGCTGACTGGTGAAGTACTGTCTCTGGCAAAGCAAACTTGTAAAGTCTGAAAGAGAAGCCAAATTACTCAACTGTGCTAATAACAGTAATGTAAGAAATCAAGGGTCACAAAAAACAGTTAAATATGACACCACTGAAGGAAACTAATAAAGCTCCAATAACTGATCCTAAAGAAATAGAGACCTATGAACTTTAAGACAAAAAATTCAGAATAATCCTCTTAAGAAAGCTTAGTGAACTACAAGAAAACACAGATAACTAAATGAAATTAGGAAAACAAAGCATGAACAAAACAAGAAGTTTGACAAGGAAATAGTAACCATCAAAACAAAAACAGAAATCCTAGATTTAAAAACATAATAACTAAAGAATTAAATAAAAAGTTTCAAAATCAGACCCAGCCATACTGAAGAAAAAATCAATGACCTGGAGGAGAGGATGGTAGAAATTACCCAGAGGAACAAAAAGAAAAAAGCATGAAAAAGAGTGAAGGAAGCCTATAGAAATTATGGAACACAATGAAAAGAAATAATATTTGCAATATTGGAATTCCACAAGGAGAAGAGAAAGAGAAAGACACAGAACACATATTTAAAGAAATAATGGCTGAAAACTTCACAAACATGGGAAGAGAAATGGACATCTAGATGCCTAAGGCCCAAATATCTCCAAGCATATTTAAACCAAATAGGGCTATACTGAGATACATTATAATTAAATTGTCAAAAGTCAAAGAAAAAGAAAGGATTTTAAGAGCAGCAAGAGAAAAGAGAGAAGTTTAAGGAAACCCCCATAAGACTATCCAAGGATTTCTCAAAAAACAAAACTTTTCAGGTTAGGAGAGAATGGCATATTCAAATATTGAAAGAAAATAACTGTCAGCCAAGAATTCTATACCCAGTGAAGCTGTCCTTCAGAAAAGGAGAGATAAAGACTTTTCTGAACAAACAAAAGCTGAGAGAATTCATTACCACCAGGCCTTCCTTAAAAGAAATGGAAAAGGGATATCTTTGAGTGGAAGTAAAAGAATGTTAGTGAACCTCATAAAAAATACAAAAAGTTAGCATAAACTATACTGGTAATTTTAAATATATAGTCACAGTTAAATTTATAACTCTAGTTTAAAAGTTTAAAAACATGAATTTGGCAAAAGTAACCATAAATTGCCTCATGGTAATCACAAAGGAAAATTTTGTAGTAAATTATACAAAAGAACATGATAAAGAACTCAAAACATGCTGGTATAAAAACACACACACACACACACACACAAAGTCAGCAGGATCAAAACAAGGAACAGTGAATGTACAAAACAACCAGAAAACAATTAACAAAATGGCCATAGTAAGTCCTATCAATAATTATATTAAACACAAGTAGATTAAATTCTCCAATCACAAGACATTAATAGCTGAATGCATAAAAAACAAGATCCAACGAAATGCTGCCTACAAGATACTTACTTTAGCCTTAAAGACACACACAGACTAAGAGTGCATGGATGGGAAAAGACAGTTAAAGGAATGGTAACCAAAAAAAATGCAAGGTTACCTATAGTTATATCAGGTAAAATAGACTTTAAAATAAAAATGGTGAAAAGAGACAAGATCATTATATAATGATAAAGGAGTCAATATATCAAGAAGATAAAACAATTGAAACATTTATGTAGCCAACATAAGAGCACCTAAATAATGTGAAGCCAAAGCTAACTGAGTTAATAGAGAAATGAGCAAAATATAGTTGGGGACTTCCATGCCGCACTCTTGACAACGGATAGATCATCTAGACAGAGAATCAATAAGGAAACAGCAGATTTGAACAGCACAATATACCAAATGGACCTACTGACATATACAAAACATTCCACCCAACACTAGAATACACCTTCTTTTCACATGCACGTGGAACATTTTCTGAGATAGACCACATGTCAGGCCACAAAACAAGTCTTAGCGAATTCAAGAAGATTGAAACCATACGAAGGATCATCTCTGACCACAATAGCATGAAACTAGAAATCAGTAACAGGAAAGCATGAAAGTTCATAAACACGTGGAAATTAAACAGAACTGTCACAAATGATCAATGGATCAAAGAAGAAATTAAACAAAATAAAAATATTTCTTTAGACAGATGAAAATGGAAATACAATATACAAGACTTTATAGGATGCAGCAAAAGCAGTTCTAAGAGGGAATTCATTGCAATAAACACCTATCGAAGAAGGGCGAAAGATTCCAAATAAACAACCTAACTCTACACTTTACAAAGTAAAAAAGAATGCACTGAGCCCAAGGTCAGCAGAAAAAAGGAAATAATAAAGATTATAACAAAATAAAATGGTGTAAAGAATATAAAAAATAATCAAAAGGATTAATTAAATTAATAGTTGGTTCTTTGAAAAGATAACCCAAATTGACAAATCCTTAGCTAGATTAACCAATGAAAAAAAGAGAAAGGTCCAAAGGCAAGAAAAAATTTAAATGAAAAAGGTACATCACAACTGATTCCACAAAAATTCAAAGGATCATCAAGAGGCTACTACAGACAAGTATATACCAACAAACTGGACAGCCTGAAATAAACGGAGAAATTCTTGGAAATATACAACTTACCAAGACTGAATCAGGAAAAAACAGAAAAGCTGAATAGACCAATTAATTACTAGTAAGGAAACTGAACCAGTAATCAAAGTCTCCCAACAAGGAAAATTCCAGAACCAGATGGCTTTACTGGTGAACTGTACCAAACATTTAAAGAAGAATTAACACCAATCCTTCTCAAACTCTTCTAAAATATCAAAGAGCTGAGGATACTCTCAAGGTCAATTTACGATGCCAGCCCTATTCTTAAACAAAAACCAGAAAAGGACATTTCTAGAAAAGAAAACTGTGGACCAATTTCCCTGATAAATATGGATGCAAAAATTCTCAGTGAAGTACTAGGAAACCAAATACAAGAGCATAATAAAAAGATCATACCCTATAGGCAAGTGAGATTTATCCCTGAGATGCAAGCTATACTATTAAGCTATAGTCCTCAAAACATTAGGCACTAGTATCAAAACAAACAGACCAATTGAACAGAATCAAAAGCCCAGAAATTAAACCAAAGCATATGCAGTCAACTAATATCTGACAAGGGAAACAATACTGAATGGGGAAAAGAATAGTCTCTTCAATAAATGGTGCTGGGAAAACTGGACAACTACATGAGAAGAATGAAATTGGACCTACATTTTACACCACTCACAAAAATTAACAGAAAATTGGTTAAAGACTCTACTGAGTATAAGATCTGAAACCATGAAAGTCCTAGAAGAAATCACAGAAACAAAGCTCCTTGGCATGAACCTAGGTAATGACTTTTTAGATATGATGCCTAAGGCACAAACAGCAAAATCAAAAATATGCAAGTGGGGCTACATCAAACTAAAAAGCTGCTGCCCAGCAAAAGAAACCACCAACAAAGTGAAAAGACAATGCATGGAATGGGAAAAATATTTGCAAACTATGTATCTGATAGGGCTTGGTCAATATCTAAAATATATAAAGAACTCACAACTCCATAGGAAAAAGACCAAACAACTCAATTAAAAAATAGGCAAAGGATCGGAATAAACATTTCCCCAAAGAAGATTTATGAAGAAATGCTCATCACTAGTCATTAGAGAAATGAAAATTAAAACCATAATGAGATATCATCTCATATCTGTTAGAATGACCATCATCAAAAGACAAGAGAAAGCAAATGCTGGCATGGATGTGGAGAAAAGGCAACTCTTACACATTGTTGGTGGGAATGCAAATTAGTTCAGCCACTATGGAAAGCAGTATGGAGGTTCTGCAAAAAACTAAAAATAGAAATATCAAAAGATCCAGCAATGCCACCTCTGGGAACATATTCAGTGGTAATGAAAACACTAAATCTAAGAGATATCTGCACCCCCATGTTCACAGCAGCACTATTCACAATAGCCAAGATATGGAAACAACCTAAGTGTCCATCAGTGGGTTAATGGATAAAGATGAAGAAGGTAAGATATGTATATATATGTAATGGAATATTAATCAGCCATAAAAAGTAAGGAAATCCTACTATTTGTGACAACATGGATGGACCTAGAGGGCATTGTACTCAATGAAATAGGTCAGACAGGGAAAGACAAATACTGTATGACCTCACTTATATGTGGAATCTAAACAAACAAGCTAAAAAAGCATAATAAAATAGACCAGACTGTGGTTCCCAGAGGCAGAGGGTGGGAGGAGTAATTGGAGGAAGGTGGTCAAAAGGCACAAACATCCATTTATAAGATAAATAAGTACCAGGGATATAATATAGAACATGATGACCATAGCTAATACCACTGTATGGTATTTAGGAAAGTTGTCGAGAGTAGATTCTAAGAGTTCTCATCACAGAAAGAACTTTCTTTTTCCCTTCTTTTCTTCTTTCTTTTCTTATCTATATAAGATGGTGGATGTTAGCTGAATGTGAAAATCATTACACAGTATATGTAAATCAAACCATCATGCTATACTGCCTTAAACTTTTATAGTGATGAGTCAATTATTTCTCAATAAAACTGGAAAATATATTATGAAGCAATATATAATACAATCTCACATTAAAATAGTAAAAACAAAAAATTGTTCATATAATGAAGCTACCTCTGCTTCTCAAAGGGATTCCTAATCCTGATTTTAAAATGTTGATGGATTGATTATTTTTGCTCTCTCCGAGGACAGATTCCGCCAGCGCTCACTAGGACACGTACAGACGCAGAAAAATGAAGCTGCAACATCCAGATGCTCACATAGGAACCTAAATAGGTAAACTTAAAAGTTGAAATGCTTAGACTAATGCCTTATTCACTTTATTTTTCTAAGTCAGTTTTCAACATTCAGTGCCATGTGCTGAGCTTCTTTCTCTACTTTAGAGCCAAGAAAACATGCACCTATAACTTACACTGCATGGGCTCCAAGAAAGGGGGAGTGTCTATGAATTCTTCCCATACATATGATGTGTACAGTGTACCTTCTCATTCATTTATTCACTTACTGATTCATCCATTCTATGATGTAGGCTCCACTCATTTCAAAAAGCCTAGACAGAACAGGAAGAAGAAAGAACACAAACACCATTTTTTATGGTTTTATGTCACTAAAATGATTTTTATATAAGTAAGATTTTAACATGAGTAACTAAGGTGATCATTACATAAATATCTAACTAATCATACACAGCTTAAAATTTTTATTTCGCCATCTCTGCACCATTACAATATAATTCTAAGTAATGAGAAGATAGAACTCATATTTAAACAAAATTCCTTGTTTTTACCACGGAGCATCATAGGGTTTGTGTTAGATGATTTTGCCAGCTTTAGTGTGATTTAAGTGTTCTCAGCACATTTCAGGTAGGCTAGGCTAAGCGATGATGTTCAGTAGGTTATATGTATTAAATGCATTTTCAGTTAATGATATTTTCAACTTATAATGGGTTTATCTGGATGTAACCCCATCATAAGGTGAGCAAGATCTGTATTTAACATGCTGGTAGGGTCAGCCTTATTAGTAGCTATTATATATTATATAATGATGCAGGAATAGAAGACCACAACTCAAAAGATCAGTGTCACACCTGGACAGAGAGCAAGGGTGAACTTCTTCTCCAGTCTAAGATGGCACATCTTGGCTCTGAGATGGTAAGCCACTTCAGTAAGGCAGTGACATGGCTTGACACTGGATGTGCAGCCTTGAGCCGCTACAGAGGCATCCCTGTGTTATGAGAAAGGTCAAGCTATGATAACATGGAAGCAGTGTAGTGACCAATTGTTCCTTGAAAAAATAAGACCATATCCTCAAAGCAGAATGAGTTTGATAAAAGCACTTGTCATTTTGGGTGGGAGATTGACCAACAGCCTCAAAGTATTTTGTCAGGTCTAAGATTCTAAGATTCTCCTTATGCATGGGAGATGCTCTACAACTTAAAAGAATTAAAATGTTTAGCATCAGAGAAATAGGCCTCCAGAGGTGCCACAGACATGGCCACTGATGAAAGACGAGCGAACCAGCACCTGTGTGAGCACGTGATCAAGGAAAGCTGCTTCGTGAGGCTTTGGCAGCTTTTCCACATTGACACTTTTTGTCAGTTTTCAGCTTTCTTTGTGCATATGTGGATGCTGGTGGCAGGCAATAAGGATGAAAAGAAAGGGTTTGGGGAGATAAGTTAAAACTGGGAAGGTAAAAAAAGTCAAGGCAAAACCTCACCTAATTTATCATCTTACCTTCAATATGAGGGCTGGACATTCCCAGACAGATGGCCTTTTGTTTTGATGACTTTACAGTAGCTATCCTAAAAAGGAAAAGAAGACAAATAGGCAAGTAAGTTACAATTACTGGCTGAATAAAGATCCAGTGCAGTGAAAGAATTCAAGAGTGAACCACAAAAGATCTCTCTTCATAAAGAAAGGAGTAAGGAATACAAAATTAATCAATTTGGGATTTTTCTATCATTCAAAACACGTTTATCTGAAAATGTTCCTATGTCTGAAAAATACCTATCACCACTTCTCTAAATTTAAAAACGCTAAGTTAAAACGTCAAGGGACATAGTTAGACTACTTATTATATAAATATATTTATAATATGAATCTGACTACCTGCTATATCATTTATTACCCATAAAATTCCAACTTTGGAAATTCTTATAATTTTAATTATTTTTAATAAAAAACTATTATTAAAACTTTGAAATATATGTAATGTTTTATTCAGACGGTCAAATCCAAATAACTCAGCACAGGTTCAAACATCTGCTTCCAAAGCAAGCTTAACAAATGTTAAATAATAAAATCATTCCTCCATACTCACTCAGTGGGTAAATGGTGTACAGAGGTTGCTGGAAATGAACAGAAAGGTTTCTAAGTTTCCACTGAGTCACACGTAGGCAAATGGGCTAAGAAGATACTATGTTATTTGTAGTGCTAAACAACACCTGAGGAATAAAGCTCCCAATCCTTCTACAAATAGGAAAAATGAATCCAGAAAGGTGAAGCAAATTCACTTACTGGGTGAGCACCACCCAGTAAGCTGGTAGTAAAACCGGGCTCAGAACCTGAGCGTCACACTCCTGTCTCTGGGGAGTTTCTCCAGGCAGACTTGTTCTCAACCAGGGCTCCCGATAAACTATTCGGGGTTCACTTGAAATAACATAAATTAACCTATATTTGTTCGAAATTAAATCACTGACAGAAATCTGAATTATTAAGGCATATTATACTTGATTTTCAAAAAAATCCATCAATGCTTGCTAGAAAATCAATTTGGAGATTTCCACATTAAGACTTCTGAAGTGCCGTATGTTTAAAGCCAACAGTTTTATTGAGATATAATTTTTATACCATATACTTCGTTCACTTAAAGTGTACAGTCAGTGGTTTTTAGTATATTTACAAAGTCGTAAATTCATCATCACAATTTTAGAATTTTTTTTTTAGCTTAACCTCTACACTTTAGTCATCATCCCAAACCTCCATTTCTCCACACCCCTCAGCCCTGGGTAACCATCTCCGGAGTTGCCTGTTTCTATAAGCAGTCCTTTATAACTAAATAAAGCATTTTTTAAAGACAAAAAAAAAAACTATTCAGAAGCACTTCTCCAAATCTCTGTTCTCCTCTTTTTCAGTAATTTCGGTGACTTTGAAAAGTAAGCTCAAATTTCATCCCAATTTTGGAAATGTAGTTTTGCTTTTATCATCAAGAGCCTGATACACGTTCGCCATTCTGGAGCGAGCTCTCGGAGAAGAAAGCAAATCGTTTCCAAAGGGCCATTGAACATTCTATTGCGACCCCTGCTGGCTGAATGTTAAAGTGTATTTTTAAAATCAGTCCCTTGGAACTCTTCCTGTCTTCAATCTTAAAACACTGAACAGAGCACATTTAATTGGTATAAAATGTAATTTAAATTTGGTTGCTGAGTGTAAGTATCCTATTCGTTTCCTAGAAATTATAAAGCTTTGAATTAGTCTTAAAACTGTTATCAAAACCCTGTGCAAAATTGTTGCCTTCTTAATTCCTTTCATTTTCTACAAGGAAAATGCTTAATCCTAAAGAATTTCCTTGCAATTGTAACAAAAACATAAAAAATCTGAAAGATTATTTAAAATAATAAAGTGCACAGAGATAAAGATTTTACTAAAACAATGTGTGAGAGCTATTAAAATAAGAGAAAGAATTATAAAAATCCAAAGCATGTAAAACAATAAAGTTCTTCTAAGGTTTAGAACTTGGTGAGAATTAATTTAGTATAGTTACTTAACATTATTTATTGCTCTTTGAGTATTATTCCATTTGCAGCTTTAAAATTAAAACTTTAATATTTACTGAATATTTTTCCTAACCTTGTTTCATTTTTTGCTTTTGCTTTGAAATTTAGAATAGAGAGACAGTGAAAGAAAATTGAATTCATAAACAACTTTCTATGGTCTCCATAATATAATACTTTAATGTTCCAGCTTCATAAACATTAAGATTGTTTCTGATTTGCTAGTAAAACTCCATAATCCTAGAACTAGTGTTTCAAAGTCTATGCATGAGTCTCAGTAGGTATTAGCTCTTTTTTTACAGCATTAACTCCAATCTTGTAGAAAGTTTTACAAATTTTCAGAAGTGAATGTTTCATTTAATATACATTACTTTGAATTTCTATTATGGCTTTTAAAAAGAAGAAATAACATAAAAAATATATGACAAATAAATGAGAGTATTTTATTAGACTTTATTTTACTATTATTTGTATGTCCAGGGAAAGATTACAAGGAGTATTTTATTCTATTTTTTGGAGACAGAGTCATCTCCCACCTAGGGCAAAGAGGGTTGTTTGATTGTGTTGATATGTAAATAGATAAGCTTTTTGAGTTAAAGAGTAAAATATTTTTTTAATAAATGTATAAATAAAGTAAGGGTAATAAATTTTGTCCTTTGGAAAATACAGTTTTTATACAGACACAAAACACAATGAAGAAAGGAATTTTGCATTACATCTGCATTAGGTATAAAGCTTTGCTTTCTGAAGGCTAACAAAGCATGGTCAGACACATGATCACGGGGCTGTGAACATAGGGATCTCATCATCTGTTAGAAGTGAGAAGGAAGGGAGAGGGCAGGTGGTCTTCACCCACCACTGCAAAGAAGAATACATCATTTTCAGGATTGTTAGAAAGACTTATGTGTAAGAAAAAAACTGGACGAGGGGCACATATTTATGCTGATGAATACTGCCATATTTAAAGTGAGTTTCCCTACTCAGTATTTTAAGTACCTTAGAATGGTAGAAATTGACCCATTTTAATATAGGAAATAATGGTGGATAGGTTTCCTTCCCCTTTCCTTATTATATTTATTATAATTTTCATTATAGTAATTATATACAACTTGGGGGTTGGGAATGCCAACAGTCACGCCATCAAAAATCTATGCATAACTTCTGCCTCTCCACAAAACTTCTCTACTGATAGGCTGCTGTTGACTGGAAGCCCCTAAGGTAGCATAAACAGCCAATTAACACATATTTTGTATGCTATATGTATTACATTCTGTATTCTTACAATAAGGTAAGCTAGAGAAAAGAAACTGTTTTTTTCAAATTGTCACAAATCTCAAAAAAATTTCCACTGTATTTACTGAAAAATATCTGTATATTAGAGGACCCATGCACTTCAAACCCATGCTGTTCAGGGTCAGCTGAATTTATTGCTTGGAAGAATGATCCACACCATTATCTCTTAAATAAAATTACCTTAATTGCTCATATATTTCAAACCTAAAAAAATATTAGCTTCCCTCATTCCTTGTGGGTATCTTTTTTGTACAATTTCTACTTAAATGTAGGTGACCTCTATTTCTGTTACTGGATTCTTTACTTTTACTGTGTAAAAAAAGTCAGAGAAACTTAAAATAGGAAAACACTTTGAGTATTTTTATTCATTTATTTACATTTTATAAGAGGGAGTTCAAGCTATCTTCCCTATCAAAAGAAAAGTAAAAATTTAGAGAATGATTTATTGTCTCGGCCTGGTGGTGCTGGATGATGGTGCCTAGTTGTAAGAGGCTAATGGGTAAAGAAGACCTCGTCTTAAAGAGTTCCACCTTTCTGCAGAAAAGAGCCAATTACCGTTTACAGCCCTGTGTTCTTTGATACTGATCAGCGAACCTAGTCTCCTGGCCCTCAATAGACTGGTGTTTACTCTGTTAAGCAGTGTACATTTCAATACAGTGAAACACATGTTCAGCTGAAACCTAATCCTTCTCCTCATCAGTTCCCATGATGCAGAGGTTAGGGAGAAAAGACAAAAGACTGTCAGTGACAAGAACAGCCAGATTCAGAGCATTCCCCACATACATTTTCTTAAAGCCATGGAGCTCTTAGAAATCAGTAGGGTAGAGGCTTTTGGTAAAGCAAATTTATAGGAGACAGACTCGGGCGAGGGACACCTGGCTGGACCATGCACATCTCCATCTTGCCTCACCCTCTGGTGGGTGGCCTGTGCTGCAGGGACGGCCCCAATATAATTTCATTGAGGCAGGAATCCTGGAGCCACATCCTGACACTGACGAGGTAACGAGAGCTGCCAGATGCAGTGAAAGCTCTTGTTTCTATGCTGGGTTACGGCTGTAGCTCCCATTTCTTATCAGTCTGAATTGGTCAACTGCTTCCATGTCTTAGACAGGAATCCGTTCACTAGAAGTGTCAAAATGGGGTCACAGTCACAAGCAAGTCTCCACTCTGGGAGGCTGTGTTCCCAGGGGCAATTGGGGACATTAAATCTCCTATTTCATACAATAGTCATTTTTGCATTTTGTTGTAAAATAATAAATCATGTGAATGTGATGTTTCATGGAAACCTTCTAGGGACATTTTACATTTATTTTGAACCTAGATGGATAAAAAGCCATATGTGCCATTGCAGCTGTTAGGAAAACTGTGTTTTAATTTCCTGACAAAATGTAAAGCTATGCCCTCAAAGTTTCATTCTCTTAAGCTGCTAGCTTTAGTACCAAGGAGTGGGGCCTGGCAGTATCCAATGCTCATCGGGAAGACTTGGACAGAAGAAGAATGGAGACATATCTTCCTGGTTTCCCCTTAACAGAGAAATACGATGAGAAGGAAGATGGGAAGCACCCTTGAGAAAGAAAACTCCTCCAGGCTGTTGTGTGCAAGTGCAAGGCAGCTGTTCACACGAAGATGTCCTCCTCCAGCCCTTTTAAGCACTGTCTCCTAAAGTTAGACAAGCTGCGCTCTAAATTCACTAGGTTATCCAGGTCATCCCAGCCCACTGTCCACCATCTGCCAGA